ACTCCTGCGCTCGCTGGATGCGCAGCCGCCGTAAGGGCGAAACGTCGCTATTCGGGAAGAAGACTGAAAGACCAGTCAGCACAATGAAGACCAGACAGCAAGGTTTGAATGAAGTAAAACTGGTCACTGACAGAACACGAGGCCCTTGAAGATTTGATGCTGTTCCTGAACTATTTTCGTAGTAGATGTTCGTTTCTTCTTGCCATCGACTTTGTTCTTTTTCGGAGGCCCCATGATGCTTGATCCTTTCACAGGATGATCCTGTACATCTTGGATAACAATTATAGATGTGTTTCTGCACTTTCCCTGGTCCGTGGCATCAAGTGAAGGTGACTTTAAAGTGGAAGTTGCTCCCAGTGCACCTGTTTTCTTCACCAGTGAATCGGAAAGAGCAGGCTCAGCTTGGTGAACAGGCTCAACATAGTCTTTCGCTAGTGCGATAAGCTGAGAAAACCTCTCATCGGAATCATCACCCGAGTCATCCACCAAAGCATCTAGCCTCTCAAGTCCTTGGAAAAAGGCCTCTTTGTCCGAGGTGCTTTGCACCATCTCCGGGCTCATATAATGTCGATGTCATATCCTCCGGAATCCGTAGAGCCATGGGTGATGGAATCCCGAACCTGCCCAGCAGGTGACGGTATATGTACGTATATTCCCAATACTTCAATCTAATCACAGCAAGTGGTCAGTGACCAACAGGGACCAATATGCAAGAAACACGCCCGAAGGCAACCACGCGTGGGGAGCGACACGAAAATGCCGCCTAGTCACGGGATCGCGGGCTTTCAATCTAACCTCCCAAAAAGTAAAGCATGTGGATCTTTCGAAGCAGATAGGCCCAGTCAACAACCACCACTGTTGAAATTGACATTGGTCGTCAGTCAGAATGTGGAAGCGATCTATGCTTCTATCCTCTTTCACAGAGGTCACTCTGCTCCAGGGAGGTCGCTGTCTCAGCTGCCAATTCCGCAATGCCGCTGCCACTTCAACTATTCGACTAAAGCCCGCGCTGCGCTACTACGCCAGCAGCAGCAACAATGATAAAGCAGCAAAGACGGCTGTACCCAATCCAACAGCGTACAATAAAGTCCAATTTAAGCAGAATCCATCCCCGTCGTCACCTCCTTCTGCGGCCCCCGAACCCGGCGACGATGACTTCGTTCCTCCGACTCTCGACCGTCCAATTGGTTCGGTGATTCCTCCGCAAGAAGGACAGAACACCGGTATTGATTCGCGATCTCTCCGGCAAAGACGAGACGACTTTGTCAATTATGATAGACATCTGGAGCGTCGCAAGGAACTGTACGAACATCTCTAGCCTTCCCAAGTAGTCCAGACCCAGTTACTGATCCGATTTGTATGCAATAACAGAACAAGACAAGTCGCAAAGCCATATTTCCGAGAATGGTCGAACCTCCGCCACCACGAAGGAAAGACCTTCTACTCCGGCCCCCGGTTATTCAAACGAGACAAGGCGCTCTACTTCCCCAACATGCACGGTACCACACTCGCATCGCCCAAGGAACCGCAGGATACCACCTCGCAGCTTCGGGGCAGAATTTCCGTCGTGAATCTTTTCTCCAGTGTTTGGGCGGAGACGCAGGTTGCGACTTTCACGGGCCCCGAACAGAATCCGGGCCTCTATGAGGCGCTTAAGAGTGGTGGCGATATGGTTCAGAAGGTGGATATCAACCTAGAAGAGAATGCCCTCAAGGCATGGCTGGTTCGCAGATTCATGTGGCGGATGCGGAACAAGTTGCCTGAGCAGCAACATAGGCGCTATTTCCTGGTTCGCAAGGGTGTCACAGAGGGCGTTAAGGAGTCTATCGGGATGATGAACAGCAAGGTTGGATACGTTTATCTCTTGGATGAAAACTGTCGCATTCGGTGGGCAGGCAGCGGGTCCGCAGAGGAACATGAGCTCGAGGCACTCAACAACGGGATTCGCAAACTGATCCAAGAGAAGAAGGTCAGTATGGAGTCTGAGTTACCGGCCACAGAGTGGGAAAGAAAGAACCAAACTGCGTCGGCAGCTCAAAAGCCCCGGGTTGTCATGAGACCATGAGAAGCATAAATAGCCATCATGTATATACATATGTATTATATTACGGATTACCCCATTCACTGTCCACCGTGCTCGGCCACAACCCATCGTACAACCAATCAGCACATGTAGATCATCAATAAGTATGATTTGGGTCGTCCCTGTACACCAAGCAAATGATACAAGAAACCAAACCTCAGGACCCACAAATTAACATTTCCTGTATAGCAGCAGCGAGAAGTGCCCAATCCCATAACGCCCTCACACTATAGACAGCAGTATAATAGATGACAAAGAAACCAGAAAATCACACCGCTAAAGTAGAGATCTGAAACCAAGCTAAAGCGGACCTAGCATGCACTTTATCGGAACCAAAGCAGCATCAAAAAGCAAAACCCGATAAAGGCACCCAAGATAAGCGCATCTCGCCTCCGCTTCGACCCAATCTTCCCGATCAACGCATTCATCCCGGGCACCTGGCTAGCGGCTCCAACAATGCGCCGATTAATACTGGCCAACGTCTCGCGCTGAAGCCCGAAGTTCTCGTTGATGGCGTATGCTTGGCTCAAAACGCCGTCTATCACGTTGTGGCTTTGGTCGATCCGACCCCGCTCCTCGAGCATGTAGTCGGCTTCGGCGGCGGCGGGATTCGACGCCCGATAGGCATCGATGTCGGAGCGGACATTGGTGAGTAGATTTGCGCGGTCGCGCGATTCTGCAATGGCGGCGGTGAGCCGTTGGAGTTCCCGGCGGTGGTCTTGGAGGATTTCACGGTGGCGGGCGAGGTTGTTCTGTTTCAGGGCGGAGGAGGTCAAGGTGGCTTCGGAGTCGAGGAGACGGGAGAGTTGAGAGACGAGGGCTTGACGCTGGGGTGGGAGTTAGTGAGGCATTCTGTCGGGAGAGGGATGGCCTATCTGAGAGTATACCTTTTCGAGCAATCCTTTTAGTTGTGATTCCAGTCGGAGTTCTTCCTCAGTTGGGTCTCGGGGGAGGGTTGTCATCGACGCATATTGCGAGTAGGAGTGGAATAGGCTTTCAGTCTAAAAGCGATATGAGTTAGCATGCTGCTCTATGCTTCCTAGTGCGGTTTTCAGGACTCCTCTGGGTCTATTCAGTCCGTACCTGGGTTTCGAGAGAGCGGGCTTGCTGCCGGAGCTGAGCCCACCCGGTACCTGTTGAGGCCGCCATGGAGAGTGGGTATAGAAGTATATGAGGGTAAGGTCAAGATAAAGGGTGCTAGTATCTCAAATGAATCAATGAACAGAGAGGTCAAGTAATATAATTCCCCGTAACAGGCTAGGAAGATCTTCACCCCGAGAAACCCCCGACTAAAAGCACAAGTGAGTATTAAGTTGACCGACCAGCGGGAAACGAAACGCAAGGCAATCCCCCAAAAGCATCCGCGGCTCCCATCACCGAGTCTGGTAAGGCGGAGGCGGAGGCGGCGTCATCACAAGGCACCAGCCACAGCTGCATCACGTGCCCGCTTACGGCGGCGCACCACACGCAAGAAAAAAATAACCCTAGTCCCACAACGAACATCCCAAATTGACCCGGTCCATCTTCAATCCTCTCGTCGACAACCGCACGACACGACAATACCGCCCACCATGGTATGTTGCGCTGCGCCAGGATGATAACGATACTGGTGAATTTTTCGCGTTCGAATTAATGGTTGCTAACGGTTTCGTCGATAGTCTTCCAAGGTCAAGGCTGGTCAGCTCTGGGGAAAGAACAAGGATGATCTCACCAAGCAGCTGGAGGAGCTGAAGCAGGAGCTCAGCCAGCTCCGCGTCCAGAAGATCACTGGCGGTGCCTCGTCGAAGACCCAGAGAATGTGCGTTTGAAATTGCTTTTCCTTTTCGAAATCCCTGTTTTACACCTGGTTACGCCAATACCCAAAAGAATATGTGCGCTGGAAGGAAGAGGGGGGAAAGAGACGAAAACTCTACAGATACTGTGAAAAGAGAAGGGACTGCAACGACCGCGCAATTTTTTTTCCTTTACTTGCACACAACCACAAGGGAAAACGGAAGCAGACCAGAAAATGCTGATTGTGAATCTGTTACAGCCACGACGTCCGCAAGTCGATTGCTCGTGTCCACACCGTCATCAACGCCAACCAGCGCGCTCAGCTCCGCTTGTTCTACAAGAACAAGAAGTACCTCCCTCTCGATCTCCGCCCCAAGCTTACCCGTGATCTCCGTCGCCGCCTTACCAAGCACGAGGCCTCCCTCAAGACCGAGAGACAGAAGAAGCGCGAGATCCACTTCCCTCAGCGCAAGTTCGCTGTTAAGGTATGAGGCCGTCATCTTCCCGACGAGATTACGCTCGCAGCTGGGAAGACCATGCTCTTCGGAAAAGTGAACCAGTGCTGATCGGTGATTCGAACAGGCTTAAATGAAGTCGGGTCGTGTCTGGATTTAGATGGAGTTCCGGGAACGTCGTTATAAAGATGACGGGTTGGACCACCTTGTGTGGGTCGGTTGCACCAAAAACGTCTTTTAAAAGAAATTGATTATGTATCTTAGAAAAAGATGCAAGTCGATATTAAATGAAGGCTTTACTTGACATGACAATGATAATACACGACTTCCGACCGTGATGTGACGAGTTCCTTAGAATCCGGCAATCCAATTCCTTAGGGGCGATGGCTCGAGAAGGGGTCTTTCCTGGTCGATGCTCGTTTCCATGCAGTACCATTTATGCTTAATAGGAATCCTATGGTGGTGTTACAAGGAACAAATCCAGACAGATGAATGTTCTTGGTCCGGGATTCTGCGCTATCATCGTCTTCATACACAACCACGTAGACCTAAGATCTCTATTAGACTGGTCCTTATGCCCCCAGACAACAACACCTAGTCGAGATATCACACATCACTTGTTTCAATTTTTTTTTACAATCAGCTCTAGCCTAATACACTAGAACAACCTAGTACCACAGATGGTTCGTCTAGCGGTGGAGGTCCGACTCCAGAGTCCATCCTCCTCCACAGATACAATACCGCACATAGCCCAACTTGTACATCATGCGAGACGATAGCTGGGGGCGTGGCGGGTACGCACCGCACATAATCTCGCAACAACGGACGCATCGTCTGCGCACCTGGCTGGGATTGTGCTTTCCGCTTTGAGCCCCGTCCGAGCCCGCAGATGTCGTGCTTCTGAAAGGAATCTTCTTGATGATATCCACGTCCCGGGTCCTCCGGTACAACTCTGCACGTGGGTCGGATCCAAGGCCGAGCCAACTGTAGTCACCTATATAGATAGCCATGCGATCGATCTCAGGCTTGAGCGTGGGGACCGTCTGTCGGAGAATAGTAGAGACGGCCGTAACTAGAACAGGGGGGATACGGCCGTTGACTAAAAGTTCCTTTTCAGGCCCCGGCCGTTCATTGTCTCCAAAGCCCGCTCCAACATAGACATGTCGCACAGTCGAGTCCACCCCAGCAAGCAACTTCTCATACACGTCAATTCGCACGGGGGATGTGTCTAGAGTTTGATAAATCTCGGCATAGTAGACGCCAGCATCGCCCGTCAGAGGTGCAGTAGCATAGCCGGCCTGGATTCCTCGCAATCCGCGGCAGATGAAGCGCAGGAAGGCCCGAGACATACTAGACAGAAGGATAATCAGGGGTAGAGAATTTATGGTTTTCACTGCCACGAACAGTATCAGTATAGGTGGCATAGCTCTGGTTTGAGATCCGAAATCAACGGATGATATACTGACATTTTTGGGCAAAAGCCTCCTGGTCAGAAAGCAAGCTCTCTAGGTCATCTGCGAGATCAAGAAGGTCGTTCAAAACATAATGTAACAAGTCCAAGGCCCATTTCGTATTTCCAAGTAAAATACGTATAGCATCTGCATCAGATCTTATAGTCAGAGAGGGTTCTGTACATTTCCCGCATGTCGAGATCTTACCTGCATCGGGTGGATCTGCCTGTGCACCTCCTTTAAGATGCTGGAGAAAAAGCGCATATAGGACAGAAGCATGACGAAGCTGGAGAATTGTCCATGGTACATTAGATGCAAAGTTCCGCGATTTGTATTTATCAATGAACCCCAGTGCGGCTTGAACGCTGAGGCATTTTGGTAAGTACTGGTGGCTCATCAATTTATCGTTTTCCTGTGTATAGTTGCAGTTGACCCCCAGAGCGCGGTAAACTTCATTGATGAAAGATGTTTGCGCATCTTGCCAAACAGTTAGCCCGGGAACCCCGTCGAGCGCAGGGAAATGAACTGACCAGGTGACGCTTGCCGTTTCAAAATTAATAAAATGTCATCCGTATTAAACTCGCTTCCGCATCCGCGGCAGAATGCCAGTGTCAAGGAGGCAATCGCAGCAGAGAATTTATCTTGATTGAAGTCAGATATGATCATAGACCTTCAGGGGGGAACAACACATACTTTCATCGTAAAGTCCATTTTCCGCGCCATACGAGTGTTCCATCACCCGTAGCTGCGCCTGCCCTTCTCCATCCAACGTGACAGCGTTACAGCCACTGGGGGAGAAGCTGATGTGTAGACCTGCTAAAGAAAAGTCAACCTTCATCCAATTGCAATATCCTAAGGGGAATTCACCTGCAGAGTCAGGAGGATAATGGAACCCTGCATGAGCTAAGCTACTCAGTGTATTCGTATCATCAGTTCCATTCAAGACGGCCATCGTCTTTGGATCATAAAAAGTGACTGAACTATCGTCGTACGTGACAGCTAGGACGTTTCCATGCTCCGTCTGCTCTATCGTAGTGACATATCTGTCGCAATACATGTCTTCCAGTCGTCGTAGCACGGATTTTGGCTAATTGGCAATCAGCAAGGCTCTCCAGCAGTCAACCTTGAGTCACGTACTTTGATTTGAGCGTTATTCTTCTTTGAATTTACCTCATCAAATTTTGGGTGAAGCACCTGTGGAGCAGACTCCAATTGCCATCGGACAATGACACTACAGGGGCTCTGTTGCTGTGAGTGATCAGGAGTAGCGTGAGGGGGGATCGAGAACACAGCTATTATCCATGGATTTGTGGTCATCCCAGCAGAATTGTCATGTGCAGCGAGGACTATATCCAGGCGGGTGAGGCAATATAGTGGGTTGGTAGAGGGTGGTAATTCATCGCTGGTTGCTTCCCCATTGCGGCTTGCACTTGGTATGATACAAGGAGCCTCAACTTTAGAGTGCATGAAGCGAAAGCCTGGGACGGGGAATTGATTTGGTGCCTGCTTTAACTGGCTCGGATCCCACTGTGGAGGAGTCCAGTTAATCTGCACTCGATAGAAGTAGATCTTTTGGCATGCAGAGTAAGTAGCGATGAGGATTCCATTCTGAGTAGCCACGATAGCCGCATGGGTAAGAAGTCGGTCGGAGTAGCTCGCATTCTTCAGTTCTGCAGAGATTTCTGCCCATTTGTTGTCGGGATTCTGGTACAAGAGCCTGATGACGCCGGATCTGGTTACACATAACAGAGCGGCTTTTCCAGCCGGGTGAAAGGGGCCTATTGGGCGGCGTCGAATGGTGAGTACGCCCGGCGCCCTTGCACCATTGCTGCTACATTGAAAGCATGGACCTTTGAGGGAGTTGAGCGTCATATCAAACATGAACGAACGAAGAACGTGGGTACTTACGGAACGTTGAACATTCAGCCACATCATACCGACAATCTGAGCTCCATCATCGATTGGATCAAAAGCCGCCTGGCGTTGCCCAGCTAGACTGTTAAGCGAAATCGCAATATTATAAATCGAAACTCGTCCAGACGAGTCGACCACGGCTAATTCAGATCCAATTTCATTCCAGCATAAGTGGACGAGAGGCTGGCCCCCATGGGCCTCTGCCACTGGGTGCAATGGAGTGTCATCACTCAGCACCCACTTCCCATCAGATGGTCGACATTCCAGGTGACGAAGATTCACTCTCAATGTATCTTGAGAGATATACGCAATGCAACCCTGTTTAGACCAAGCAATCTTCCTACATCTAGTAAGTTTCTGTGCAAACCAGAGGGGTGGTTATACGAAGATAGGCATATGACGTACTGACAGCACCCCAACAGTCGCATCTCATCTAGGCGCTGAGCAAGACCTTTGGTGGAGTTCGAGGTAGGGGCGGGCGCTGGCAAGCCCAGCTCGAGCGAGGCAGACTCGCCAAACAAATCGTCAACATTGATGCCGTCGTCCATGATCATTGGCATGATGTCGGGAATCGCATATACTATTCATGAAAGAGGAATGTGTAGTCTGTAACTTCCCGAGAATATCTTAGATCGATCGTCCGGTCGCTAGTATCATAGTAAGGGTGTCTGTTCCTGGGCGATGGATGTCGGAGCCCACAGCGATACTACGAACAGACCACACCAAACGGAGATCGAAAGGAACAGCAAGCCTAGCTCAATTGGAACCAACCGGACAGGTGCGCATCCACATCCTGCGGCTTCTTTACGCTTTCCTCAACCAAGATTCTCATTCATTCCTGCTCTCGCTCAATCTTGCTCGATAACACTTTCAATTCCATGTGGAGTCAACGGCTGGCTTAGTCACCATCACGTGGGGGTCCTGTGATCACGGTATCCGGGTCAACCAGATGAACCAATCATCGCAATCCCCACCGATCCCGAGCCCTACTTTCTATACCTCCCCGCCGACCACCGATCTGGCCATGAGAACCATATGCTGACACACAACGGCCAGTTACGGCTGTTCCTTACTGGGGATTACCGATTGAATGGAGAATAGAGGGGCTGACATGTAGCAAGTGCAAAAATACACGATCGATCCTTACAATGTGCTGTAAACGAATACCAAGTGGAGGCGGAGGAGCACGGGATCTCCCTTGGTACCATAATTCAATTGCGCTGTAGACGATACAGTGTAGTATGGTGATTGATATTTAATGGTTTTGCAATGTAGACATTTCTCGGTGCAGCTGTCTACCAAAGAAAACTGCGACGAGGCCCTTGACGGGGGTGGGCATACTGAGCAATACAGAGCAATACAACTGGGTCACTCGAAGTCTTTCATGAGCGAATAAGAGGAGCAGCTCCCTTCGTGCGTGGGAATGGGCCCAATTCCGTGGAATTGCGTGTCCTCACGCCCGGGATATTATCGGCAGAGCTGCATAAATCGAAGGGGGGTTCAGGAGTTTGGAGACATGTCACCCCGTCGTTGGGTTGGGCACACACTGCCCTGCATCGGACGGACAACTAAGCACGGGAGATACCAAATCGAACTGCAAAAAATTCTCAAAAGTCATACGCCAGAAAGGATTGGTGCTATTGAAGTCTTGCTATATTCAGAACCTTGAACCTTCGAGCTGCTGCAGTTCATGGCAGGTTCGACGTGGGGATGGACCAATTAGCGGCTGCTGTGCGGCTAAAGGTTCTAGAAGGCTAAACCGGATTGCTCCTAGTGGTCTTTTGCATGTTGGACTTCGCGCTAAATTTGTTAGCAGATTTGTTAGTTCACATTGGAGGTCAAGACATAAACAAGAGGGCAGAAGGGGTCTTGGGGACTCCTTCATAAACCAGGTTCCTTTCTTATCAGGATATACAGTCCCAGTACTAGACCACCGATCGCAACATTCCTCTCGACATACCTCCCGTTGCCAGTCTTGACGTCTGTCAATCTGGACGGACATACGTTTGTTCGTTAGGGTTTCCCACTGGTCCTCCAGGATCGCAGCGACAGTGTTTCCATCCCGTGGGTCAGTCAAAATAAACACAACATCGGCACCAAGCGAGAGCGCAGAGGTGAACCAGAACTACGAACTGCGTGCGCTGTGCCAATATCGTTTCCCTTTCTCCCGCCCTGACCTCATGATTTTCCCTTTCCCCCCTTCTTAGTCACTCTTACGGTTGCATTCATTCAACCCACTCTATCCGCCGACGTGTTTCTAGTCTTCTTCGTCTTGTTCTTCTCCCCTTACCTCCTCCCACCCGACAAGGGAGTTCTCTTGAATCTAGAAAAGGACCAGAGACGAACAAAAAAAAGAAAAAGAGAAAGAAGAGAATTTTCGAAACGAAAAGGTTTCGATTTGGGGGCTTCCACAAACCAATTGATGTTCCAATCCTGGTGTATTTTCTCCATGATTTAGCAGCAATTCTTTGTGGTGAAAGCTCTGTTGCTGGACCTCCTCATTTTTCTCCTCTTTCTCTGCTGCAACACGAACACCTCAGCCTTTCCCGTTCTACCACCACCTCGTCGTCATCTTCTCTCCTTTCTTCTCCTCCTCCTCCCACCCCGTGTGATTAGATACTCTCTATATTTTTTTTCTCTCTAATTCTCACGGAGAATTCCACCACGCCATGGACGATGGTTTCTCCGACGTATCCGAGCTGAGCTCGCCGCCAGCGTCACCGACACCACCGCCGGGGTTCTATCCCTCGCCGCCTCCGTCGCAGGACACAGACGAGTCCAGCGGCACCCGCAGCCAAGACCGAGACGACTTGCCGCCCGCAAGAAAAAAAACGACGGGTCGCCGCCCCCAAGGAACGCCGAACACAACGTCTCGATCTCTCCACCGGCGCCGGACTGTCCTATACTGAACAGCAGGCGCAGATCGATCTGCTCACTAAGACCCTTCGTCGGCACCGCAAAATTGTCGTCATCGCTGGAGCGGGCATCTCCACCTCGGCCGGCAGTATGCATTCCCCTCTTACCCTGTCTACAACGCGTCTCGCCGCTAATCAGATCTTCTTGCTGCCACATAGTTCCCGACTTCCGCTCCACCGATGGGCTCTTCAAATCTCTACAGAAAAAACACAACCTCAAAGCGTCGGGGAAACTCCTCTTCGATGCGGCCGTCTATCAAGATGAAGCACTAACCGCCTCTTTCCAAGACATGGTGCGGTCGCTGTCCGAAGAGGCTGCCAAGACCTCCCCCACGGCTTTTCACCACATGCTGGCGCGCCTCAGCCAAGAAAATCGTCTGACCCGTCTGTACACCCAGAACATCGATGGCATTGAGACGTCGATGCCTCCCTTGGCCACTCAGATCCCATTGAATGTGAAGGCCCCGTGGCCCCGCACGATCCAGCTGCACGGAAGCCTGGAGAAGATGGTATGCCAGAAATGTCGTCATCTCGGCGACTTCGATGGTGCCATGTTCGACCGTCCAGATGCGCCGGAATGTCCAGAGTGCGCAAGGAACAACCAATTCCGCGTCGAGACGGGCCAGCGCAGTCATGGCATCGGTAAAATGCGGCCCCGGATCGTGCTGTACAACGAACACAATCCGGATGAGGAAGCCATTACCTCGGTCATGAATGCCGATGTACGCTCGCGCCCGGACGCGCTGATCGTGGTGGGCACGAGTCTAAAGATCCCCGGCGTGCGGCGCCTGGTGAAGAGTCTTTGTTCCGTGATCCGGAGTCGCCGAAACGGAGTGACCATGTGGATCAACAATGAACCTCCGGCCGGCAAAGAGTTTGAAGATTGCTGGGACTTGATGGTCAAGGGGGACTGCGAGGAAGTGGCGCGGCTGGCCGCCCTGAAACGCTGGGATGACCACTCCGAGAATGTATTCGACGAATGTAATGCATCGGAGGTGGAGCGCGTGAAGCACGAGCATGGAGTGTCGATTGTCATTGAGACGCCGAAGAAGAAGCAAAAGACTCAAACGGGTTTCCTCACGCCTTCATCCAGCCACGACGAAGAGGCTTCCCAGTTGCCAAAGAAGGGCCCGGCCAAATCTCGGTCCAATCCCGCCAGTCGCGGGCGCAGCTCCAGGATGTACTCAAAGCGTCAAAGACCGCAGAGCCCAAGAAGCCAGCTGCAAAGAAAAGTGCGCCTCGCAAGAAGACCAAGAAAGACGAGCCGGCCAAGAATTCCCGCATCACCACCTTCAGCAAGGTTACCAAGGCGCAGAAGGTCGCGACCGACACGGAAAAGGCGGTCAAGCTGGAGAAAGAGGAAAACAAGCCAATGCACCCACTGCCCCCCGGCGCTGCTCGCAACAATGGCCCAATGTTTCCTCAGTTGGCTGAGAAGGGAGAAGAAACCCCCCAACGCAGCAGTCGTTGGCGCCAACCGGACACAATCTCCCCCAAATCGGTTCCGAATGGGATGAGCCAGTTGTTAAATCAGCCGGCCGCATGAATGCATGGCACTTGTCGCATGTCATTTTTAGTCTATCTTCTTCTATTCTTCGCCGTGATTCTTTTTTTTCCGTTGATTTTGCCTTAGGGCCGTCAGTTGAACTGTCAAGATACCAGGATAGACTATGCATGTTGCAATGGCGTTTTGTGGGAAATGGGCATTGAAGAGAAACAGCAGGAAGCAATGACACTCGCTGCTTCCACTGGGATGCTGTACCTTGAATGGTGGTTCAGACGATACCCGTCTGCCTCTGTATAATTTATGGGATGATGACCATGTATCTGGTCCTTCGGGTCGGCGTTTGGGTTGGTGTCGGTCGTGGAGTTTGGTATACATTCTCGCATTATCTCTCATTCATATCATACGCTTGGAAATGAATCTGGCATTCTTGCGCATCTCAATAATTAATATCGACCCGTCCATATAACGTAGAACACTCTATCAATTAGCAGTAGAACCATACGGAATCAACCCAACCCCAAATCCCCCCGCAGCTGTGACGACGGCCCAGCATCGTCATCACTGTCCGACTCATCCCCAGCAGCATCCGGTCCATGACCCGTTTCGCTCTCGGGTCACGATCCAAGTCCTCCACCCGATCGATATCCTCTTCCTCACCCAGCTCCTCCTCCTCTTCTTCCTCTTCTTCACCCTCATCTTCCTCCTCGGCCTCAGACTCATGCTCATGCTCATGCTCATGCTCATGCTCATCCACCTGCTCCGCCTCATCCTGCGTCTCATCCCCATCATCCCCCTCCTCCGGCCGACTAGAAGCAGCCTCCTCTCCTTCAGCCCTCTTCACCCTCTTCGCCCCCCTGGAAGCACCACCACCCTCCGAAGCCGCACTCCCCTTTGCGCCCTCCGTCGCAGTTGCCTCAGCATCCCCCTTCTTCGCCTTCCTCTTCCCGGCCTTCAACTCCGTAAACGCATCCAGCTCTTTCTCCAGCCTCGACCGGAACCCGTCAAACTCCAATTCCGAAATCGCACTAAAGACATCCGACGGCGCAACCGTCCGCTTCAAAGTCGCTTCATTGGCACTATTAAAAACCGATACTTAGCATGAAACATACCCACAAACCACACTATCCCTTCATTATCCGACACAAAAAGAAAAGAGAGGGGGGGGAAATAAAAGGGAGGGGGCGGGGAGTAATACTGCGAAGAGAGATACGACACAAACACCGTAGCCGCTTTCTGGATAGCGAGGACTGCATCCTTCTGGATGGAGGTGTTCGGTGGGAGGACCGACTTCGCAAGCCGAAGTGTGAGGGAGCGGGGGAGGAGGTAGTCCTGTTTTATTGTGTATTTGGTATTAGTTTCTCATTTTCATAGATAAATAGAGCAAGCCCATTCACGCAAACAATATCCCAGCGTCGTAAAAGAACGAAAACCAGGCAAGCAGACGGAAGGGGAAAAAAAAAGGAAGAAAAAAAAACCCAAAATAATCATCACGAACCTCAATACTAACACCCCCCTCAGCCCTAGCCTTGAGTTGTTGCTCTGTGGCTTGGATCGGTTGCGTTTGTGTCGACGGCGATTGCGTCTGGGCCTGTGGTGAGGATGCTGCTGCGTCTTCGACGGTTTCGCCCGTGGATTTTCGGGGTGGCATTGTTGGCTGGTAGCTTCTTTTCTTATTCTTTTCTTTTCTTCCTCGTCTTTTCGGGTTTGGGTGTTGGGTCGGTGCGTTATGGTTCTTTGGTTGTACTGGGGGGTGGAGATGGCATCGGGTGGTGATGTTGTTACTTCCCTTTTTTCTGGTCTCCGGAGAGGTATGGTTCTAGAATGTCGATTTAGGGTAAATCGATGATTGTCCCTGTTCGTTGGGTCCTGGACTCAAGGGAAGAAGAATTGAGATGAAAGGGAAAAAAACGCGACGCGATGCGGAGGCGCGTGGAGAGCGGTGGCAATTCATTGATTTATCGAATCTTATCAATTGGTGGATTTGCATACATCCATTCGTTTTACTTGCGGGGCTTACTACACGGTATTTGGGATATGTATGCTATTCATGGTACTTAGGGTTTGGTACTTGTTTTGAGTTGAATTGGACTTGGGGTGATTGGTATGGTTTATTTATTGTGGTTTTTATTTAGTTGGATGTTTTTTTTATACTTGTTGGGTTAATTGTATGTGTAGTTGTGCTTTTTGTGGAGTGTGGATGCGGAAGTGAAGATATATATCCGCGTTGGATTTAGGGGGCGGACATGTCAGAAAAGTATCGCCTCTGAAAGATGACCATTGGATATGGATTTATTGTGTTTACTGTCTGGTACGGTGCTATCTATTTCCATCCCTATTTTCCTATTCATACTTTTTTTGCCATACTGGATTGTTGAGTAATATCCCATCTACAGGGCCCCATGAACTCATACTACGTATAGCCATTTCATAACTTGATATTGACATTGAAGAACATCATTCTACCGTCTTAAGAACAAAAAACCAGGCAACGCCTTTTTTGGTATCCATGTATCCATAGCAGACAAGAATAAATAAACCAGCTTATTCCGCCATCTCATCAACAGCGCCATCACCCCACAGACCCTCGATCTTGAACTCCTTGGCCCATTCAGTGACAACCTGTTTCGTGTCCACGCCCGACGCAGCGGCCGCAGGAGCCGAAGCCCCATCGGTCGCGGCGACAACGGGCAGTACAGGGGCATCGACCCATCCCTGGATCCGTCCGTCCCTCCAGTCATTGATCACGGTCATGGCGGCGGCCTCGATGTTGGGCACACCGTGCTTACCCAGACGACCGCGTTTGCGTGCAACGTGAATCAGGAAGTCATGAGTCTGGTCGCCAGCGTCATACAGAGCGGGGATGCCATAGAGTTTCAGCAGCTTCGACTTGAGGTCTTCGGAGGCGGACAGACGCTTGAGAAGCAGGGATACGGCCGGAACTGGGTCCTCGATCTGTTTCGGTGGGATGGCGTTCAGGAGAACGAGACGTGCACGCTCCTCCACCTGCTTCTTCCTGGTCTTCTTCTTATCTGCGTTCGGGAACACGATACCGGGCGAGTCGATCAGCTTAAGCTTGTTGTCTAGCTTCACCTCCCGCAGGTTAGTGGTGACACCGGCCTCAGCACCGGTAGGGCATGCATTGCTGGAGCCTTGTTGAGACGGGCAGTGAGGGCATTGATGACAGAGGACTTTCCGACGTTGGGGTAACCGATCACACCGACGGAGATGGACCGCTTCAGGTTCTTGCTGTGCGCGTAGGTCTTGAGAGCCTTGAAAAGCGTCTCCGATGTGCCCTTGACGGTCAACTGCTTGTGGTCGAAGCTGTGAGCGTTGGCAGTGCCATTGGAAGCCTTCAGAGGCAGGGTGGGGAAGTATCGGCGCAAGTGGACCAGCCAGTTCTTCAGCACCGGTGGAGGGATGAGATCGATCTTGTTGAGGATGAGGATCATCCTCTTATTTCCACCAGCTGCCGCCATAATCTCACGCTCCACATCCTTGGACCGGGTGCCCTCCGGATCCCGAGCGTCAAGCACATACAACACAACATCCGCAGCGTCAACAACCTGCTTGAACACCTTATCGAATTGCCGCCGAGAGCTCTCCTTGCTGTGAGTCTGTGAAACAAGCTGGGGAGCCGAATCGCCCAGCGCAGCACCGCCATCTGCCTCGTCCTCATCCATGCCGTCCATATCCTCATCGTCATCCTCGTCCATCTCATCGTCATCATCGCTCTCATGTTGATCATCAAACTCTGCCGCTCTCGCGCGCGCAGAGGCAAGTAGCGCAGCCATGGGGTTCGACGAATCATCGGCATCCTCATCCATATCTTCATCGTCGGAGTCACCCTCTAGATCAATATCATTCGCCTCCATCATGTCTTCGGCGTCGTCTCCCTGCTGTTGCGACTCCTTTTGTGCCTTCTTGCGAGCGCGCGCTTCATCACGGATGCGCTCCTGTTCCTCGGCCTTCAATCGCCTCCTCTCCTCCATCTCATGGAGAAGCTGAGCCTTGTGAGGGAACAAATTAGGGATACCCGGATCCTTCTTGATCTTTGAGCGCCATTCGGGATTCTGCAATGATAGTATTAACCACTGTAACTTTCCTCCAAAACAATTGAAAAGAGGAAAAAGCGCATACCTTCTTGGCAAGCTTTCTCTGTTTTCGTTGCTTGGCCGCAGAAGCCTTCTCGATCTTGTGTCGTAGCCGGACGGGCGTCCGCTTCGAGTTTTTGCCTTGGGAACGGTTAGTCCAGATCCAAACCTGATAAAAAAAAGGCAATATGGAAAGCTCACCTAGCTTGACCATCTTGGTAGAATTTCACAAACCCCCCTTGAAACAAAAAACTGCAAAAACAAGGGTAGGAGGGAGTAATAGAAGTTTTTTCTTCTATCCAACGAGCTCACTGTCCGAACAATTTTGTGCAAACTATTTTACCCACGCTAAGATAACCGGAGTAATATACTGCCGATCTCCGATCGTCCCGCGGATTTTGTGCCCGATCCATAAGGAATTGTCAAGTATCTACTGATTGAGATTTAAACCATTTACTTTCTTTTGATTTGGGTCGTCGGGTTCTGCGTTTCTTTCGTTGTGGTATAATTTTCTGAGAGTCGTTTTTCTAGACATCGCTCCTACTTTTTTGTTCACTCATTCTTGTCTCAATTTTTATTGAATATCCTGGTCAATCTATAAGCACAATGACTAAAGGCCAAGGCTCTTTCTCAGCCCCTCCGCAAGTCGTCACTTTTGATGGCCTCCTTTCAGACTTCGACGGAACTATCGTCGACTCGACGGATGGTAAGGACTCAAGGTCTACTTGAATAGAAAGATGCTGTATTATGGCAAAATGCTAAACTTCGGCGTTTCCTCCAGCGATTGTGAAGCACTGGCACAAGTTAGTCTGACCCCGCAGAACTATAGCCACATGGTTCTAACCCCAACGACAGGGTCGGCGAGGAGCTAGGAGTTGACCCTAAGGTTATCTTGGCCACGTCCCATGGACGTCGGAGCATTGATACGCTGCAGCTGTACGACCCGAAGCGGGCGAATTGGGAGTGTAAGTTCATGCCCTGGCCCCTCGCTCTCGGGGAGTTCTATATCAGCGAGTGATGAGAAGAGGGGTGGCGGGGGGAAAGGGAGGAAGAGGCGCATGGGCTGATGATCGATTGCTCTAGATGTCAGCTCTATCGAAGGCCGCATCCCCAAAGAATATGGCTCCGATGCCGTTGAAATCCCCGGCGCTAGATACCTCCTTTCGCAGCTCGACGACGCCGGTGCCTGCTGGGGTGTCGTCACCTCCGGTACGCGTGCACTCATCGATGGTTGGCTAGGTGTCATGAACCTCACGCACCCAAAAATGCTTGTTGTTGCAGAGGATGTCGAGCAGGGCAAGCCCGACCCGCGGTGCTATCTGCTTGGCCGTCAGCGCCTCGGCCTGGAACATTCGTCATCGCTAGTCGTGCTTGAGGATGCGCCCTCGGGCATTAAGGCAGGCAAGGCTGCGGGATTCAAGGTGATCGCACTGACGACGACCCACTCACTGGCGCAGCTTCAAGAGGCTGGCGCAGACTGGATTGTGGAAGACTTGAGAAGTCTTTCGGTCAAGGGTGTGGTTGACGGACGCATTCAGTTGGAGATTCGGGATGCATATCAATAAAGGGGAGATATGGGATCAATAGACTAGACTGGCCTGGTTTTCCACCTTCCTATTTCTTTCTCCGGTTTTACAATGGGCCCCAGGGTTATGTAGACATTATTTTCTTTTCTTTTAGTTTGCTTGTACATAGAAGGTTAGAACACATACTCCAAAGTACATAGACAAAGTACGGGACCCGTTCAAGTGATATGACATGTACAAATGTATGTACAAGTAAGGAAGTTGCCTTGCATGGCGCTAATGCTTGGACGGTACGATGCCCACACAGAATTCGCTCAGCAGCTCCATACCGAATGACGGCTCGAGCACTCCCAATGGAGATGAAACAACGCCAAACGACTGGGGCTGAAACGGTACCAGGCTGGCTGAGTCGAGTCTGGCCGAGATTCTGAGAAGCAAGTACCACTACTACCGACTAAGGAAGGCGAGCGTGGCGAGAAAAAGCCGTGATGTAGATGAGGATCCATAGAGGACCCATCGCGAACCTTGAACGATGGCGGTGTGAAGTGGCTCTAATCGGAACGATGGAGCAGGCTCCATCCAGGAGAGTCTTCCGAAAAGTGACCTCGACACCGAGATACACTGAGATATCTTTGCCGAGGCATCACCGCCTTCCTACCCTGCATGACACATCTTAAAGCCCTGCTTATTCTGGAATCCAGGTGTAATATATCATGGAATAGCTAATGTTTAAGTTAAACGTCCTAGGGTTAGACATCGCTCACCGACAACCTGATGCTCAACCGAGTCTCAACAAGTTCCGATAAGCTCCAAATGTGCAAGAAAAAGGAGACCTATTGCATGCAAAGTGGCCGTGAAACGCAAGTTGGACCCGATCTAGGAAAGAGGGAAAGCTTGGTAAGTAGCCCAGAGAACGATCAAACTGCAACCCAGGCTAAACAGGGAACAACTGGATTGTGGCAGCAATCCACATCCACACGAGCTGTTCCAGAACAGATTCGAGGGGTGAGATGAAGAACTTTGGGTTGCAGGCCGAGAACGCCATGCCAAACACCTCGTTTACAGAAGAGGGCGATGGAGTTCTGGAAAAAGACAGGTCAATTCCAGCCGCCCTTCCCTTAACCTGGAAGCAACAGTGATCGTGATCGGCGTAATCCCCTCCGCGTTGTCCATTAGGACGGACTGGAGCCTACCAGTGCTGCGTACTTGTGGCTTTAGCTTGTTTCTGATACTGTCGTCGCAGCATGCAAGGGATAGAGACACAGGATAGGAATACCACCGGGATGTGGGGTTTTGGTTCTCCATTCGTTTTCTGCGACATTTGGGACGAATGTGAACGCATTGCGTGAAAACGGGTTATCCATCACACCGGTAGAGTTCTATGGAAAGAGCAGCAGCATGTAAAGGCGTGCGCCTAACCGGTTTGGAAGACGAGCCAGAAACTAGGTATTCCTGACCCGCATCGTTCGAATGACTGCTGTATGACTTTCTCGAAGTACTGCAGTGCATCTACCCGTAAAGCATAACATCTCATCTCCTAAACGGGAGTGAACTACTCCGTATCAGGGAGTCTAAAGGGGGGCGGGGGGGAATAAGGAAATAGAAAATAAAAAGAGAAAAAAGAGAGAGAGCGAACGGCAGCGGCCCTGAGCGTTGAGCAGCGTTCGTACGAAGGGACAGAGTCAAGCCAACGTAAATCAAGGCGCTGTGGCTTGAGAGTTGACCCCGGGAAAGGAGCTCATTGGTGCATATCAATCGGCACTATTTGACAACTTCTGACAAATTCTCCTCGACTTCATCCGTGCACGACGAGACGACTAGACCAGGAAGTCCTCGGATGCGACGATGGGAAAGCCCTGCAGTAGATCACAAACCCGAAAACAAGAAAAAGCAAATACACAGAAAAACAAACGTAAAATGGGCTCAACTGTGGCTGATATTACGAGCACCGCCACGCAGCTGAAGTCTAGTTTCCTGTGGCTGTGGTGCTGCAAGACGCGTACGGTATACTTCCTCCGCAGACCCCGTCTGCATCTCTATCAGTTTGGTAATCCTTAGTCAACTATCTAAAGTTGACTATGGTATGTACTAACCTGAGTGAGTCTAGTGATTGTGATGATTGTCGCTGTTGCATCATCCGTGAACAATGACCCCATATCATCAGGTAATGGAGATTAAGATTGACGCATGGGAAATCAGCGTGGTAAAATCCGACCCAAGGGGATCGAGTCGGATCGTACGTATGTAAGCAAGTTTAGACCAACCTTATAATTCCAAAGGCAGGGATACGATGCTATCGTCGATCACTTATCGGAGTGGTGACTCTGTACTGGCAGACTTGCTTCAGGGGCATCACAGTTTTGTGCACCCACCGGCTTCCTCAGTTTCCATCCTTGACAGCCACATTGATACACCGATGTCTTCGGCGAATTTCTTCTAAAGGGGGCCAATATTTGAGATCCCTACATCGGGTGACAACGGCTCGTCACAGAGCCCACCTGTCTGAAAATCACTTGGAAGCGATCCGTGCGGTTGCTTGCGGATCGTCGCAGGGGTCAGGCAAAGGACCTCCAGCGAGATCTCCCCCCTCTCTCTCTCTCTTTTT